TTCAAATTATATGTGTGTGATGTCCAAATACAAAGTCTAAAGTTGCTTATGAATTAGGAACTCAAACTACCGATATTGACAAGCTAGAATATAAAATAAGAACCTCCTATCTTTTATATTTGTTTTTTTATACCTATCATCCCACTGCTTCTTCTAAGCAACCATCTAGTTCCTAAAACCCATTTCGTTTCCTGAGTCACATATTAGAAAACCATTCCGGAAATGAAACGCAGAATATATTGATTTAAAAATGTGAAATTACATATTGAATTCAAGACGCTTTCCATTCTCAAGCTTCATTTTCAGATGAATCAAACGATCAGTTTATTGTTATCCGTCAAAAAAAAAAAAAAATGGCCATCCGGAAATTAAAACAAACAAACTGATATGTGATAAGCGTCCTCTCATAAAACACAATTAGCTCTAGTATATTTTCACCTGGAATTCTGCAGTAAATAATATATTTTTTATTCAACGTGTCTTATTCCATAAATAGTTAAATCTGAGAACAATTATATATATTATTTTTTTCTGAACCACGTGAAGTTGCATAATTGGCTCGTTTTTATCCACTGTATCCGTCACAGATATCGAACCCCAAATTCTAGCAATATAAGCCTTCAAGGTGACCGCAACAACAGAATTTCGGGTCTTCATTCTGGATGCTTTATGTCCGAAACCTTACACTCTCTAACACTTACAAGCCTTTTTGTAAGTTCACAAAACGATAAGAAGTCTTTGGAATTGAGGCTACAATAAGAAGAAAAACGAAACTGTCATAATTCATTCAACACGATCTCTCTGCCAGTGAAACGACAGTAGTGGAGTGGTGCTAATTGCTAAACTATTTTAGGTTTATTCATATAACGAGTGTGTTTTAGGAAGAACAAGCTTGCACCCATCCAGTAACAAATAAAGTTGAAAGTTGACTTCACGGGCGTTCAAGAAAGATTATTTTTAACGACGTTTAGGAAATGAATATACGATTGAGCATGCTTACGTCATTTCGTCACGAGAATTCTACGCGTACACAGAAATAATGCATTATTAGAATCTTAAGCTAAACAGGGGCTGGTGTATTCGAAGTATCCTTACCAGTTTAACGGTATAAAGTATCCACGGGATGTTGTGTGAGGGCGCATTCCCCATTGGAGAGCTCTGTCTCCCCAGATGAAATGTCACGATTTGATCTATTAAGATTTATTTTTTTCTGCCCTCCAAACTAACTCCTTTACCCCATTACGCCACCCTAGAAACGCCCCTGCTGGAGAAATATTACATCAATACGCTTGAACCTTTATGCATCCAACTGTTGTTTTCTATATGTGTTAGACAAGTCTTAGTGAAAAATAATGATAAAACAGTTTCTTCTGTAAACCTCTAAACAAAACTATACCATAAAAACATGCTCGCCCTTTCAGCCGTGGGGGCGTTATAATGTGACGGTTAATCCCATTATTCGTTGGTAAAAGAGTAGCCCAAGAGTTGGCCGTGGGTGGTGATGACTAGCTGCCTTCCCTCTACTCTTTCACTACTAAATTAGGGACGGCTGCGCAGTTGGTTCTCATTCTGGTCTCATGTATGGAGTTCCTAAAGTCCATAAAGACGGATGTCCAATTAGACCGATGATGTCTGGTGTATGCACATGTACCATCATGTATAAACAGAATTTCTGGTTACGTTGTTAGAACCTCTACTCAGAAATGAATCTATTATAATCTTCTTATTGTAATGATTCTTTGTTTTCGAATTTCACGCACGAGGGCTATCTGAATTTAATAACTAATTTTACAACGATTTCTGTTGTTGGGCTCTTTTGGATTACTAGATAGAAACTAATGTAAAGTCCAGGACATTTAAGGATAACGAAATAGCTTTATTTCATCGAATATAAATTGTACTCTTATGCGGTTTTAGGAACTGACCGATAGGCCTAACGCAAATAACGTTAAACAGTCATTCCTTACAAATTTTCCGGTATTCACGGTACTTCTTGTATCTGTGTTATGTTACTTCGTCGAAACACAAACTCAGTGTTTGCGAAATTGAAGTTATATAAAAAAAACAACTAATAAAATCATTATCTCAATAACCAATCAACCGCTGTGA